ATGGTTGAAAAACATATAAAATTGGGTCAATAATCCAAACGGATTAATTATTTGACCCAATAGGTCAATCCAAATATTATTTTGAGAAATAAGACATTTGTTATAGTACAGGTCGAACTCGTCACACTCACATGGTGAGTTTGTTTAAATATATTTTTTAATAGACTCAAGTTTGTTGGTCCCATGTGACCTAATTGTTTAATATATTTCTTGGAACTCGTCATGTCTAAATGGCGAGTTATATATATAATTTAAAATAATACCTTTTTTAATTTATGAGACTCGTTGTGCCCATATGGTGAGTTCCATTTGGATTTAAAAAATGTACACGGTAAGTGAATGTTGGACAACAAGTAGATTTCAACTACCGTAACCTGCTAGTCCATGGAACTCACCATGTGGGCATGACGAGTTCCATGGACTATCTGTTTATGGATATTGGAATTGGAAGTGTAAATATTGGTTTGGGGGTTTAGGGTTTATATTGTGATTTATTGGAAAGATTAAAAATTTATTGAGAGAAAAAATGTGCTTTTTGACAATTTTGCAACAAAATGTCTACCCGAGAACAAATGTTACATTTTGATAATGTCCATATTTTATCCTATGGTAAGACTTACTTCTTATAATATTAATGTTGTTTAAATTTTTTTGTTAATTGTTTAAATTTTAAATTGCAGGAAGAAGAGTGAGGCATTCGTCATCAAGGAATAAAAAATGCACTGTCATATTAACATACTTTTATTTGTCTACAACAGTCTAAATAATATCCTATCATATCCTTGTGATGTGTTTCAATAGTCAAATCAGAATAGATGTTGCTATCCCATTGATCTTTGTGGAGTTTGGCATAGTCATGCATAGTCTTCGAAAATGGGGCAACACAGTCATATTTCTGACCATAACAAGAAGTTGAGTGAGAAAACACTTTCTCCAAAATGAAGGCAGAAAACAAGATAGAAAAAGATCAGAGGGCTCGTCAAATATGCAATTTGGAAACTATGAGTTGCTACACGAGTATAGAAAACAGACCCTGGAAAGAATGATCAAGTAGAAGAAGACTGAGTTCGCCACTTTGAAGGAAAACGAAGATTGATTCAACATTTATGCATTCATGAAAACATCATTTGAATAAAGAATGCATTACACTGATACATTTATTTGCATTCGTGTTTCATGCATAAACAAATGATTTTGACAGGTCTTCAAGTGAAAAGAGAAGATGCAGGATGTTAAAATCTTGACGATTGAAAAGAAGATTTTAAACCTCAAATGCAAGGAATCACATTTAGAGAGGCATACCTTGAAGAATTGAGAGGTCTAATCCACAGAAGAAGTATTACTCTGAAGTGATGCCATCAGATATAGAAGAAAAACAAAGACTTTTGTATGAAGAAGTGAAGTGATCAATTGAAAGGACTTGCACACATGAGATTGGGGCAAGTCAATCTTAAGCCTTCACCATAGAGTAGTGAAGCAACTACATCAGTAAGTCTTTCGAGCATGATGCTTAAATCATTCGGGTCATCTATAAGCCTTTAGAGCAAAATGATAAGTCCTTCGGGCCATCCATAAGACCTTCGGGTAGGATGTTTTCACATGAATTTGAAAATGAAAAATGATATTTTAAGAAGATGGAATTTTTGAAAACGAAGAATGCGATTTTCAAAATTTCATAATTTATAAGTCCTTCGGGCCATCAGTAAGTCTTTCGAGCATGATGCTTAAATCCTTCGGGTCATCTGTAAGCCTTTAGAGCAAGATGATAAGTCCTTCGGGCCATCCACAAGACCTTCGGGAGGGATGTTTTCAAATGAATTTGAAAATGAAAAAAATGATGTTTTAAGAAGATGAAATTTTTGAAAACGAAGAATACGATTTTCAAAATTTCACAATTTATAAGTCCCTCGAGACATCAGTAAATCTTTCGACCATGAATTTAAATCCTTCAGGTCATCTGTAAGCCTTTAGAGCAAGATGATAAGTCCTTCGGGCCATCCATAAGACATTCGGGTAGGATATTTTCACATGAATTTGAGAATGAAAAAATGATGTTGGAATTTTTGAAAACGAAGAATGCGATTTTCAAAATTTCACAATGTATAAGTCCTTCAGGCCATCAGTAAGTCTTTCGAGCATGATACTTAAATCCTTCAGGTCATCTGTAAGTCTTTAGAGCAAGATGATAAGTCATTCGGGCCATCCATAAGACCTTCGGGAGGGATGTTTTCAAATGAATTTGAAAATGAAAACAATGATGTTTTAAGAAGATGAAATTTTTGAAAACGAAGAATGCAATTTTCAAAATTTCACAATTTATAAGTCCCTCTGGCCATCAGTAAGTCTTTCGAGTATGATGTTTAAATCCTTCGAGTCATCTGTAAGCCTTTAGAGCAAGATGATAAGTCCTTCGGGCCATCCATAAAACCTTCGGGAGGGATGTTTTCAAATGAATTTGAAAATGAAAAAATGATGTTTTAAGAAGATGAAATTTTTGAAAACGAAGAATGCGATTTTCAAAATTTCATAATTTATAAGTCCCTCGGGCCATCAATAAGTCTTTCGAGCATGATGTTTAAATCCTTCGAGTCATCTGTAAGCCTTTAGAGCAAGATGATGAGTCCTTCGGGCTATCCATAAGACTTTCGGGTAGGATGTTTTCAAATTAATTTGAAAATGAGAAAATGACGTTTCAAGAAGATGGAATTTTTGAAAACGAAAAATGAGATTTTCAAAATTTTACAATTTATAAGTCCTTCGGGCCATTAGTAAGTCTTTTGAGCATGATGCTTAAATCCTTCGGGTCATCTGTAAGTCTTTAGAGCAAGATGATAAGTCCTTCGGGCCATCCATAAGACCTTCGGGTAGGATGTTTTCAAATGAATTTGAAAATGAAAAATGATGTTTTAAGAAGATAAAAGTTTTGAAAACGAAGAATGCGATTTTTAAAATTTCACAATTTATAAGTCCCTCGGGTCATCAGTAACTCTTTTGAGCATGATGTTTAAATCCTTCAGGTCATCGGTAAGCCTTTAGAGCAAGATGATAAGTCCTTCGGGCCATCCATAAAACCTTCGGGTAGGATGTTTTCACATGAATTTGAAAATGAAAAAAAAATGATGTTTTAAGAAGATGAAATTTTGAAAACAAAGAATGCGATTTTCAAAATTTCACAATTTATAAGTCCCTCGGGCCATTAGTAAGTCTTTCGAGCATGATGTTTAAATCCTTCGGGTCATCTGTAAGCCTTTAGAGCAAGATGATAAGTCATTCGGGCCATCCATAAGACCTTCGGGTAGGATGTTTTCACATGACTTTGAGAATGAAAAATGATGTTGGAATTTTTGAAGACGAAAAATGCGATTTTCAAAATTTCACAATGTATAAGTCCTTCAGGCCATCAGTAAGTCTTTCGAGCGTGATGCTTAAATCCTTCGGGTCATCTGTAAGTCTTTAGAGCAAGAAGATAAGTCCTTCGGGCCATCCATAAGACCTTCGGGAGGGATGTTTTCAAATGAATTTGAAAATGAAAAAAAATGATGTTTTAAGAAGATGAAATTTTTGAAAACGAAGAATGCAATTTTCAAAATTTTCACAATTTATAAGTCCCTCTGGCCATCAGTAAGTTTTTCGAGTATGATGTTTAAATCCTTCGAGTCATCTGTAAGCCTTTAGAGCAAGATAATAAGTCCTTCGGGCCATCCATAAAACCTTCGGGAGGGATGTTTTCAAATGAATTTGAAAATGAAAAAAATGATGTTTTAAGAAGATGAAATTTTTGAAAACGAAGAATGCGATTTTCAATTTTTCATAATTTATAAGTCCCTCGGGCCATCAATAAGTCTTTCGAGCATGATGTTTAAATCCTTCGAGTCATCTGTAAGCCTTTAGAGCAAGATGATAAGTCCTTCGGGCCATCCATAAGACTTTCGGGTAGGATGTTTTCAAATGAATTTGAAAATGAGAAAATGACGTTTCAAGAAGATGGAATTTTTGAAAACGAAGAATGCGATTTTTAAAATTTCACAATTTATAAGTCCTTCGGGCCATTAGTAAGTCTTTCGAGCATGATGCTTAAATCCTTCGGATAATCTGTAAGCCTTTAGAGCAAGTTGATAAGTCCTTCGGGCCATCCATAAAACCTTCAGGTATGATGTTTTCACAAGAATTTGAAAATGAAAAATGATGTTTTAAGAAGATGGAATTTTTTGAAAACGAAGAATGTGATTTTCAAAATTTCACAATTTAAGTCATTCGGGCTATCAGTAAGTCTTTCGACCATGATGCTTAAACCCTTCGGGTAATTTTTAAGCCTTCACAAGAGAGTATTGGAGCAAATATATCAGTAAGTCTTTGGAGCATGACGATTAAATCCTTCGGGTCATTTATGAGTCTCTCGAGCAAGATGATAAATCCTTCGGGTCATCCATAAGACCTTCTGGCAAGATGTTATTTCACCAAGATAATAAGGCATCCGAGCCATTTTTAGCCTTTTTCAGAATAGTGTTAGAGCAAACCATCAGATCATCAGATGTGGGAGGAAATCGAAGATTCTCGGATATGAAGAAGTGGAACAATCCATTAAAAGGGTTTGTGCAAATGAGAGGGAAGCGAAGGTCAAGAAGAAGACTGAAGAAAGGGAAATGACGTTGTAATCAGATAAAATTAGGTCATTATTTTTGTCTTTGGCTACATTCTTGTGTTCACAAAAATGAGCATAGAGGGACAGCTGTAATACCCTAATTTTGTCCGAGCCATTTAAATCTATTTAAAGATGACCGATAATTAATTTAGAGGTATTCGTGCTCAATGAGGAATTAATTCAAAGGATGAATGAAAGCTTACATTTGAGGTTAACATACAAATCAAGAAACTTTGGTGCTTAATTGGATTGAAACCACTTATTTCAGTTTGGAATTCAAGATATAAATCGAAGTCAAAATTCAGTCCCAAATTCAAATTAAGTGTCTAAAGTCGAAAGTATATTCTACAAGCCCAAACTAGACCTAAATTAATTACAAGTTCAAGACTCAAATCCGGAGCCCAATAGCAGGCCCAAGTCTGGCCCAATTGGAAGCCCAACACTAAATTTGGAGCCCAAATTACAACCCAACACTTGAAGACCAATTACAGCCCATTTACAACAGCAGCAACTGAGCAGTTCAGTCCCCAATGACCTGCGCCTCTCGAACAGCTCACGTAAAGTCCCTCGGGGCTGTCACCAACACCCATACAGCTCGGTTTCCAGGCACCACCGCTTCCAGCACTCCATGTGCAGCACCATGATCGAGTTGCCCACATGGAGACATGGCTCTGTTGCCCATGCTCCACTGTCACTCACAACCATGCTGTTGAAGCCCCACGCCCGACAGTACTCCAACCGAGCAGCATCCTCCACACCCAAGAAGACCGACCAAGTCTCGATTCCTCATCACTGGCGCCCATACCTGTCGGCCAGCACGCTCGTACCCATCACCATTGCCCATGCCTTGTCTTCGCCCGTACCCTGGCACCTAGGAAAACACCTATCATCAACATAACAAAGGGCCAAGGACCATGAAAGAAAAGGAAGGGAGGAATTTTACACAACAACAGGGGGGAATCGGGTAAAAAAAAGGGTCTGGAGAAATCATTTTGGAGCAATCTACTCGACTCTTCGAGAAAACGAGCAGTGTAACAGGGATTTCCCTACCGTTTTCAAAGCAATAAAAAGAAGTTTTAATTTATTTTCGTTTCCTTTTATCTTTCGAGCAAACTCAAATCTGTCATCATTTTTATATTTTCATGTTTCATAAAAAACTCACACCAAGCTAAGCATTCCAAATCCAGAATAGAAAACCCAAAGAAAAATAAGCATTTGAAACAAAATAAATAGTAAGAGTGAAAGAAAGGGATTGTTACCTGAGCATTGCATCGCCGGTGTCGGGGTTGCTCAGCTTTAGATGCTTACCGGTGAACGGAGACAGATTTGCAGCTGTGGGATTCGAGAGGGAAGGCAACGAATCACCAGAGTGAAGAACCCGGTTCGTGGAGGTCTCGTCATCGAAGAATCCTCGAGCTTCGTCCTTCGCGTGTAGGGTTTCCATCGGGCAACCTAAAGTAAGGCTTTGGTCCTTAGTGGCCGTGGTCTCCATCTTCTCTTCAAAGAAGGTAAAACGTGAAAGAACAATGGCTTAGAGTGTTGGAGATCGAGAACAGTGGGCGTTGGTCGCCGAGCTGTTGTTCTCCGAGAGAAGGGAAGAGATGAGGCGACCGGGATGAAGCTTTGTGGTTCTCAGTTGAGCCAGAGGAAAGAAGCGAGGCTAGGAGTGAGTCGCGTAGTGGGTGACAGCTGTGGAGACTCTGGTTTAGGTGGTGAACGACACTGCGCAAAGAAGAGATAGGGGAGAGTTGAGAGAAATGGCGCAATGTAGAACGGCTGTGAGGAGGTAAGTTGAGGTAAAATGGGGCTAGGGTTCAAATTTCATACCCAAAATTTTATATATCAGCTTATTGAAACGGTGTCGTTTAGATGGTCTAGGGTTGTTCTTTTGTGAATGGGTTATCTAGTCTTTAGGTCATCCATGATTTTCTTATAGTTCATTTCCGTCCTCGATTCGAGTCTTTTACGTTTTCAATTCAGTCTTTGTTTTGTTTTCTCATTTAATTTTCGTCCTAAATATTTATTTATTGTTGTTTTAGACTTTTAACCTCTAGGTTTCTGCATGTCACATTATGGTCTTGAGTGTATTTGGGTTTATCGTAGTTTTAGTCCATTCCATTAACCTCAGTTTCATTGTTTATTTTGGTGTAATATTAATGTCCATTGCAATTAATATTTTGTTTTTATTTAAAGTAATGAAGTCTGGTTTAATATTATTTGATCCTTATTTTAACATGAATGATTATTTTCTGGAATTTGTATCTTAACTTGTTATGTTTTGCATTTTAGCCACATTGGTGTATTAAATATTAATATATAAATATGATGGGTATAAGATGTGGTAATATAATATGTATATAATTGTGTGTATTAAAATAATATTGCATGGTATTTTATTGGTTTAATTAATTTTTACATGACGTCATTTGTCGCGTAATTTGTATGATATCCTCACGTGCATAACTTGAAATTATTACATAATTTGATTAAGGGTAATGTTCTTTTAATTTAAAATTGTTTTAAGTGGGTTTTTTTAACTGATTAGATATCCGCTTTAAACGATTTTAAAATAAAAGTATATCTCATCAGTGACACCTAAAAAATGGATTTATCATTTTAAAATTTGGGAATGAAAGAAAAAGAAATGTTCGGTTATTTAAATTTATCGAGAAAATGTTGTTATAACTATTTAAGATCTGGTCTCGACATTTTTAAATAATCGAATATTCTTTATCTTTCTAAAGACTTGGTAATTTTAATTTAATCTATTTTAGAGCTTTTGAATATGATAAAATTCGTATGTTATTTTGTCAGGGATCATAAATCAAATTAAACTCAAATTTGTAAATTTTATTGCAAAGACATTAATTAATCGACAGGGTACCGATTTAGGGCATTGTGGGGGTGCTAATCTTTCCCCACGTGTAACCGACTCCCGAACTCATTTTTGGTAAAGCGGACCTAAATTTGTTGTTTTTAATTAAAATTAATTTTTATTTAAAACGACAAAACATTTTTGGGTGTCCAATCACATCCTAATCAAAGATTGGTGGCGACTCTTCGAATCTGTGTTTTTATCATGAATGAATTCTCAAATTTTCGAAACGAGAGGTTTTCTAAAATCACATTGTTTTTAATTAAAAATTGTAATCTTAAGAGAATAATTAAAAATGATGTGGTTTTCAAAATCTCGCTCCCCCACCGGTTAAAAATCGTTTCGACAGACACAATCCGAGTTGGCAGCGAAGAATTGTCCGTGTAAGCTAACGTGGATCTTGAAGTAAAAATCTGTTTCGATGATCCGAGGAATTTGAGACAAAGCTGAAGTCTGAGGTTGCTTTCACAATAAGTTTCCCTTTATCTCAATCTCTTTAATTTGTTTATTTAATTGTTTTTCTTTTATTTTATTTAATTCTTATTTTTATTTTAAAAATAACTTTTAAAAATCCCCCTTTGTATTTATTACTATTAATATTTATTATTATATTATTTTTCTTTTTTATTATTTATTTTATTTTAATATATCTTTTCAACTTCAACTGAAATTCTATCTTTTTCTAAAATCATGAAAGAGTTTTATTAAATTAGAAATACCACAGTCCCTGCGGATCGACCCTGATTCTCTATACTACCTTTTCCTTTTTATTTATTAAAGAAGCCAGGAATTATTTTGATAGCAAAACGACGGTTATCAAATTGGCACCGTTGCCGGGGACTAACGATAAGTACTGATTTATTTTTCTAGTTTTTGATTTATGACTAGAAGAAACCTAGGTGAATTAGTATATCTAGATCCGGAGATTGAAGCAGACACATACAACATTCTGATGGCAGAAACAAAACAAACGATCCGAGAACTAGCCACAGCTCCTGTCACTCAGATGCCATTATGCATCAATTTTCCTAGTGGAGGGACTCCGTTTCAATTAAACACGGGACTTATTCATCTTTTTCCCACCTTCCACGACTTTCCCACTGAAGATCCGTACAAACACTTGTTGGAATTCAACATGGTTTACACTAGCATGAAACCACAGGGAGTTACCGATGATCAAATTAAATTGAGAGCTTTCCTTTTCTATTTAGCCGAATTGGCTAAAGATTGGTTATTTTATTTACCTCCAAATTCAGTTAATTCATGGGCTGACATGAATCAAATTTTTCTTAACAGGTTCTTTCCAGTGGCTAAAGCAAGCGAGTTGAGAATGAGCATTCTTTCCATTCAATGGAGATGAAAATGGTGGATGCCGCCAATAGAGGAGCATTAATCAACATGAACCCAACAACATCAAGGAAATTGATTTCAACCATGGCAGCTAACTCTCAACAGTTTTCAAGTGAACCCAGCAGACGGGTTCACAAGATAAGTATATTTTCCCTTAAAAATAAGTTAGATAAATTAACTGTAGTAGTTAATTCACTTGTTGCAGGAAAATATGGAGCAACTCAAATACCATCATTGGAGGAACTCATAGGGAAGTAAGCAATTTCACAAGAAAAGTTCGTTGCATCCCAGGAAAAATCCCAAAGCCAGACCGAAACACATCTTCAAGAGTTAGATAACCAAGTAAGCCGACTAGCTCAAACTATGGGAAAATTGGAATCACAAGGAAGACTACCTTCTCAAACGGAGTTAAATCTAAGAAAAAATGTTAGTTCTATCACACTCCGAAGTGGAAAAGTTATCTCACCCGAAGTTCCAACAGAAAAAGTCACACATCAGGAAGAACAAGAGGAAAACCACCTTCAGAAATACAAGGTACATCTGACTCATATCCTTCTCTTTCTTCTATTGAAATCACGCCACCACCCTTCCCAACAAGGTTGATGAAGCGTGATAAAAGAACTGAAGAAAATGAGATCTGAAAGGTGTTCCAAAAAGTTCAAGCCAACATACCTCTACTTGAAGTAATTCGAAAAATACCAAGGTATGCTCAATGTTTAAAAGAACTTTATACTACAAAGAGGAAATTAATGGGGCACGAAAAGGTAAATTTGGGAGAACATGTCTCTGCAATTTTTCAACGAAAGCTCCCACCAAAGATGAAGGATCAAGGTATGTTCGCTATACCTTGCAAAATATGTGATTTTAAAATTAAACATGCAATGTGTGACTTAGGAGCTTCAATTAATGTTTTGTCATTTTCTATATATAAAATGATTACTAACGAGCCTTTGAAGGAAACAGGAATAACCATACAGTTGGTTGATCGATCTGTGATCTATCCAGTGTGAGTATTGGAAAATGTCTTGGTAAAGGTCGATGTATTATTCTTTCCTGTAGATTTCTATGTCATTGACATGGAACATGATAGGTTGGATTCTTATTCCGAGATACTCTTAGGCTGACCCTTCCTAAGCACAGCACATACAAAGATCGATGTTAGAAGTGGTATATTAACAATGGAATTTGATGGTGAGATCGTTGAATTTGATGTTTACAAAGCAATAAAATGCCCTGATCATGTTGAAAGAATTAATTATGTTGATGTTATAGATCCTTTAATTGATAATATATTGAATCTAATTTTTCTTATGATCTTTTTAATGATCCTGAACTTTGCCACGAAGAGGAAGAAAGGGAGTTTGAAAATATTAATTCAATCAATGCTGATTTATCTTTATCTTCCTCTAAAACTAAAATTTTTCCTTCTGTTTTGTAGGCACCTGTGGTAGAATTAAAGTAATTATCGGAGCATTTGAAATATGTTTTTTTGGATGAAAATGAAACTTTACTAATGATCATCTCAAGTAAATTATCCGAAGGAGAAAAGGAAGCTATGGTAGTGGTATTGCGCTCTCACAAAGAACCATAGGATGGACCATTGCCGACATTAAAGGATTAAGTCCCTCGACTTGCATGCACAAGATCAAAGTCGAAGAAGGAGCAAAGCCATCACGTGAAGGATAACGCTGATTAAATCCACCGATGATGGAAGTAGTAAAGAAAGAAATTCATAAACTCCTTGATGTTGATGTAATCTATCCTATTTCGGATAGTAATTGGGTAAGTCTGATTCATGTGGTTCCCAAGAAAATGGGAGTCACAGTGGTTGAAAATCAAGAAGGGGAGTTAGTGCCAACAAGAGTTCAAAAATGGATGGTGAGTTTGTATTGATTACAGGAAGTTGAACTCTCTTACTCGAAAAGATTATTTTCCTCTTCTTTTAATAGATCAAATGATTGAAAGATTAGCTGGGAAAACTCATTATTGTTTCCTTTATGGTTTTTTAGGTTTTTTCCAAATCCCAGTGGCGCTATAGGATCAAGAAAAAATGACTTTTACTTGTCCCTTTGGTACATTTACATATAGAAGAATGCTCTTTGGACTTTGTAACACACTGACCACCTTCCAAAGATGCATGTTAAGTATATTTTCTGACTATGTGGAGAAGGGCACCAAAGTCTTTATGGATTACTTCACGGTTTATGATAACTCTTTTAATGAATGTCTTGATAATTTAACTAATGTGCTTAAAAGATGCTTAGAATATAACCTTGTTTTAAACTATGAAAAATGTCATTTTATGGTTGATAAAGGGTTAATTTGAGGTCATATTGTTTTCTCAAAAGGGATTACGGTTGATAAAGCTAAAACATATGTTATATGCTCACTTCCTTACCCCATAATTGTGAGGGAATTTTGTTCTTTTCTTGGCCATGCAGGATTTTACCACAGGTTTATTAAGGACTTTTAAAAGATAGCACAACCATTATGCAATCTACTTCAAAAGGATCAAGACTTTGACTTTAATTCAAAATGGAAGGAGGCTTTCGATTCATTAAAGGAAAAGCTT